AAAAATTAGAGAGATAGCCGAGATTATAGGCATCTGTTATGCCCGAACTCAAAACATCATTGTCAACGAGTTGGGTTTCCACAAGGTGTCTGCGAGGTGGGTTCCGCGACTGCTTTCAGTTGAACAAAAAAGGACGCGATTGACTATTTCACGCGACTGTTTGGAGTTATTTGAAGCCGATGCAGATGATTTTTTGAATCGTTTTGTTACTATGGACGAAACATGGGTTCATTACTGTACACCGGAAACAAAACAACAATCAAAACAGTGGAGAAGACCTGGTTCACCGTCCCCTAAAAAGGCTAAGTGGATTTTGTCGGCAAATAAGGTGATGGCTTCAGTATTCTGGGACTCGAAAGGTGTGATTATGATTGATTATCTTGAAAAGGGTCAGACTATAAACTCTGATTAATACTGCACCTTACTACGTCGTTTACGAGAGGAAATAAAAGAAAAACGTCGAGGAATGCTCAGAAGAAAAGTCCTGTTTCATCAAGATAACGCCCGTGTTCACACGTCAGTACAGTCAATGGCTGAAATTCACAACTGTGGCTTTGAACTGTTACCGCATCCGCCGTATTCACCTGATCTGGCACCATCAGACTTCTTTCTGTTCCCTAACCTAAAAAAGCACTTGGGAGGTCAAAGATTTTCGACAAACGACGAGGTCAAAGCAGCTGTAGACGCATATTTTGACTCTAAGGAAGAATCATTTTTTTTCAACGGTCTAAATGCTTGGAAGGGGAGGTGGCAAAAGTGTATTGAACTTGATGGTGATTATGTAGAAAAATTAAAATATAACTGATTTAGTATGTGTTTATTTTCTTGGTTAGGCCGAGTACTTTTCAATCCACCCTCGTACCTATAACCACACCGATTAATTATACTAATTCAACAATAGATTTGTTAAATTGATAATATTGATAAAGATTAAAAATTACATTGAATATATTGTTTTTTATTTTAATAAACTTTACCTCTACAATAGGATTTTCTCATGTATCATAGAAGCATCTTACGTACATAAATAGCCCAAGGGTAACCACAACAATTACTTGTAGACCATACAAAAACATGTTCCGTGCAGAATTCGAACCCTTGCCCTTCAGCACCGCAACCAAACACTAAAACACTGTACAATGAAGCCGTCAAAATGGTTCACTAAATTTATTAAAATTAATTTATTAAAATCTCCATAAGGAGATTATCAATACAACTGTTATATATTTTTTGTTTTTACGTAACACTATTAGTATATACGAGTAAGTTAACCAATTAATCTTATTTATTATTTAGTTGTAGTAGCTCAGAGCAATGCTCCCTTTAAATTTCATAGCACGTTAGCAAAATTTATTTAAAGAAAACATCGTGAGGAAATCCGAATGCAAAATAAATAAAAAAGTATCTTTCGTGAACATTTGAATTTTAAACAGAAAAAAGGTCTGTGGCACAATATAGGTTATCATTTTATTCTTTACCACTGCAGCCTATGGTAGGTTTTCTGAACATAGCAAAAAGATATGATATCGTCTCTCTCCGGGTAGGTGCGACGTTTGGTTAGATGCTAACTGCATGCTAGCGTGTAAGCTGTGTGCTACCCCATTTTTAAACGTAGTTATAGTGAAACTATTCTAACGGATACGTATTTTTTAGCCTGAAATACAGTATTATATCCTATTTAGGGGCTAATGACCACTGTAAATTTGATGATATTTATAAAAAATATTATTATTATAAAGATTTTGAAATATTATTAGCTTTAATAAATTCAATGATATGAACCTAACAGAGGTGGATTAGGGTCGAATTAATATTGTTTACCTGTTTTAAGTCCTATCCAAGAGGAATTTCTTAACCAAAATAGTTATTATGATAATATTATTAAGCACTATCTACGGCTTCCATTTGCTTTGGTGAATACTTATTCTTTCAAAAGACATCTAATAGAACAAAGTTACAAAGGCCTGACTAAGGCGATCACGCCGTAAAACAAATGTAACAAACGGCCTAATAATTAACCTTTCCAAAGTAAATGTATGAATATCATGATGTAATATGAAAAAGGAAACGAAGTATATGTTACCACCTTAATTAACAAAGGGTAACAGGGATTGTACTTTTATTACATATATTACTTCATTAAGTCTTCTCTATCTATAAGCCTTATTGTTAGGGATCGTAAATACAATTAAATTATTTCGTTTGTTTCATTGAATGATATTATCTATTTTATTCTAAGCTAGCTTTTATCCACGACGAGAAAAACACTGTAAACACAGTTGTTTGCTATTATCTCGAAAACTGTGTGCGACATGGAAAATATTTTAAATAAGAATTAAAGATCTATTAATTCTCCATAAAAAGCTTTTATCACTTATTTCTTTAAGGCTCACAGTTTTGTTCTAAAATGGTGTTAAAATAAAAAATAAAAAAAGATCGCCCCAAAATTTTGAGGGATGAAAGAAATGTTTTCATTCGTTTTTTAACGCGATAGGGCCACGTTTCAGGTATATTATGGTTGTAGCACGAATGGGTCGACTCGACCGGGAAGGATCACGCCGGCATAAAATAGCAGCTTAATACTATTGTGTTACGCATGGTGAGTGTAGAGATCCGGATCCGGATTTTGTACTGGAAACGAGGCAATCCATCTGAGCCCTCAGGGGTAACAACGCATCTGCCTTTTTATCTTAATCGAGGCTAAATTTAGATGTATACGCAACACACTTTAAAAATTTCTGAAAGCTTATTTAATGCTTCTAATATACTATTTTTAAATACCTGTAGAAGGACATACATGAAAAATCTTAGTCTTGAATCATAATTGGCTATAACGTTGATGATGAAACTTACGAACAGAGGAATACCAGGAATCTTGTAAAATAGAAAAACCGAAATATAAAGTAGTTTTTAATGATTATCTCCAAAACTACGAGAGATATAAAAAAATCGAATAAAAAATTTTGAACATTTATGAAAACATTTCTTTCGTCCTACAAAGTTTTAGGGCGATGATTTTTTACCGTGTGGTGGAAGTATAATGAAATGAAATTGGGTGAAAAGAAATTAAAACTCTTCCTCTCAAAAGCATTTTCAAAGAAAAACATTTAAAGTTATAACTGTTCAGATTTCACAATTTTACGAGCTATTTGTATTTCAACATAATTTGATTTCAAATAATTAAACAAGCTTGATTCGTAGAACTGCGTTGGGCGGAAGTTTATGCGGCGAAACTAGACCACGTTTATTTCACTTTGATTTGAATTCTAGATAGTTATTATTGTTCATACGTATAGTTTTTTAACTGACAGCATTGTTGATTAACAAAAATCTTCAAATAGTTTTATAAGAGTATCTTTGTTGCACTTTTTACCTGAGTGTTTTATCATTTCACCATTCGTTACTAAAGTGATATGACGTTTGAATTTAAATTTTAGAAAAACCATTTTAATTGTGAAATTACATAAAAAATCAACTGGATTTTTTTTCTTAATATTTTTAGTAAACTTTAAAAAAATTAAAAACCTGCAACTTCTCTATTGGGTACCCGATTTGTTGAGTGTGTCTTTAGAGGCGATAATAGGAAATACCAAAAGGGTCGTAATGTCTTGCGATAGATAGCAGTATAATTACTTATTTTTACACCAGACGTAAAATATCGGTACAAACAACGGGTAGAGTGCGTTTAATTTATAACTGCACTTGCCTCACTTGTATTTTAAGTAGATTTTATCACTTCATCATGTCTAATATTATAAAGAAGCTAAAATCTATTAAAACACAATAAAAAGGGTATGCAGATTTAGATTTTATAATACCTAATTCGGTAAACCGTTGACCGTGTTGTGGCGGTATCCACTAACCATTATTGTCCTGTCGGTGTAGTAAGAAGCGACAGAGAGCAACAAACCAAGAAGAAGCAGCGTCTTCTTAATAAAAACTAGAACCATTTACAGCAGTGCATTGTGATAGATTGTAATGATGATGATGAATACGATAAATGTCACAAAATCTACCAAAAAAAATGGAAGCGCGTGAAGTTTTAAGTTGGACGATCTCTGTGTGTCAAAGGTGGGAGACGTCTGGTACTGCGAAAGCTAATTTGCTTACCGATCATGGTGGGTACGGTAAATCCTGACTATTGGAAGAGACCCACGTGAAACAGAAGACTTTACGGGCTTATGTGAGGTAAAAGAAGGAACATGAATGTAAATACTATATACTATATTAGTACGTGTACCCTTGGTTAATTTTTTTGTGTCATAACGGTGACAAACGTGCACACTGACTATATGTAGATCAAATGGTAGGTTGATGCTGTGGCCTATTGATATCTACATCCGTCATAGGTTAAGAATCAAAATGCAGATGTGTTTTCATCCATAAGGAAAAAGATGGAATGTCTCATTACCAGTCAAAAGTGTCTCCCGTTCTTTACCCCCATCATGCGAAATAAAGCAGCATTATTTTATTTTTTCTATGTAAGCAAGGTCCAACCGTGATCGAACCCAACCTAGGCTGTAGTTTTGTACATTGAGCATAGCTTGGCTCTACCACGTAAAAAAATCAACCATGGTTGTAGATTTAGTGAAATCGAAAGCTGAAATTCAGAACAAAATAAAGTTTATACTGGTGATTTTTTTACCATCTCGAAAAAAATAGGTGAAAGGAATAGAGGCCTATGGCACTGATATTTTATATTTTTTTATTTTTCATTAACGTATGAAATTGATCTATCAATAAATACTACTAATGGGGTACGTATTAATTTAATTTTGATAATTTTTAATTTATATATTTATTTAGTTCAAAAAATTTTAGTTGTTATATTTTTGGTACCGAAAGTTTATTTTAAATTAGTAGTATTTACTGATAAATCAATTTCATAATATGTTAATGTAAAATAAAATAAAAATTGTAAAATATCAGTGCCATAGACTTCTATTACGTTCACCTGTTACACCCTATTTTTTCCAGACGGTAAAACAAATCACCTAGTATTAGGGTAAGGCTCTAACAGTGCGGAACAGAGGCAATCCGTCCTTAACCGAAGCAATAAACTAAAAACAAAGTAGTAAACTAAACATTTTCACTAGGATGTTTGGTAACTAAAACTAAACCTTTATACAAACGAATACGTATCTGGTGTAGTCTAGTTTAATTAAAAATACGTATCTTTGGGGGTAGTCGCATATTATTTTCTAACAAGTTTCGGCCTCACTCATGTGCTATAACTTTGTCGAAATGTTTTTGTAGATAAACCAATATATTTCAAAGTCCTTTCTCGACGGAAATTAATTTGACTTCAGACGCCATGTAATTTGTGTATAACGAAATCCGTATTTTACGTAAAAAAGTATCATTTAAATACACACACGACGTCGTAAATAAAATTTTGATTAAAATGTTTGCTATTGGATTATTAAACAAATGTAAAAATAATTCAATTCCCTTCGAACTTTAGTAGTTTTGTCTACGTCCGAACCTGGCATGTCCAATAGCTTCATATGTTGCACTTTAGAGCAAATATTATAATTAACTAATCGAGTTTTGTATATTTTACAATATAAAATGGTAAAATCAATTTTTTTACAATCAGATCTTGATCTTATTTATATGGGTCCCATATACATATACATATACACGAAAAGCACTAGCTTTCAGATAAAAAATGAACCATCAAAATCGGTTTACCCAGAGAAAAGGTTCTGAGGTAACACACATAAATAAACATACTGTCGAATTGAATACCTCATTCTTTTTGAAGTAAGACAAAAAAACTACTTTTCTTAACACAAAAATCGTATCGATGAACTTCTTTCAAGCGTTTGTACACACAAACAGTTCATTAAAACATTTTGATTTAAATATTATTAATAAATAACGATTGCCATACTCTAAGCGGGGCTTGATGGGAATATTTAGAGAAAATACTAAATGTCAAGGTACAACTACTGCGACAGTGAACCTGAGATTCCCACCTTACATGAATATACTCTACCACTCCTGTACTGAGTAAATAATTTAAAAAAATAGTAATAATGCGTCGTCACAATGAGAACTTTTAACCCTTTAACGCGCAAGTAATTTTTTTTTTCGTAATTTAATAGTTCTTGTACAAAAAATATATTTCATATAATAACAATGTCCATAAAAATAATAAAAAAATATTTTGAAAAACTGTTTTTGAGAAAACATATGTTAATTATACTCAACATCACGAAAGATATAAAGAATTAAAGGTATGTAGAGACGTTAAGTATTTTCAACATTGCTCTTTTATGGATGATCAAAAATAAAGCGAATACATTAAAATAAAAAGTTTACTGTTTTACATGGAAGTTATAGAAACAATTTCTCTTACTCACTAAGCATAGTCTCAAAGAACATTTGGTACATTGCATATTTGTGAAACCGTTTTTACAAAATTTGCACCTACCATAGGGAACAAATACTGGCAAATGCCCAGTGTTATCGTATCGTACAGCATCAGGTGGTCTCGGAGCAGATGGTAATTGAATTTGGGCAGCAGCATTATTTTCCTTATTCGTGTCTTTGGGAACTCTATTTTTTTTCAATAGTTCTGTGCATACATTAATCCGGAACTTTTTTAATGGCATGCATTTACTGAGTGATATATTGTTATCTCTTTTGTATAACAGCCATGCATTATTGACACATATATCTATGGCTTGCGAAAATATAGCCATGTACCACCTCTTGGTTTTGAAAGAACTGCGATAAATTGCGATTAACATATCGGCCAGGTCGACGCCCCCCATGTGCAAGTTATATTGTTTTATTATTTGAGGGCAATCAACTTCTGCCCTTGTCTTAGTATCTTTCGAATAACGCTTGATTTTTTTCAATAGGGTGCGAATCCACAAATGAACTAGCAAGGGTAACAGTTTTATTGTCATGCCATTTTATAACAGCAATTTTATTTTTATTGCAAACCACTTGCTTGCTTGAACCCCTTCCTTTTTTTGCCAAATTTTTATCTGTAGGTAGTTTATCTTCACATCTTCTCAGTCTATTGCTTCTAATTGTGCCCAAGCTGAATAATCCGTACTCGTCACGTAAAAGATGTATCAATTCAAGTGACGTAAAAAAAATTATCAAGTATAAAATTGCAGGTCTTTTCTGTATAGTCTTCGCCAGAGCCAGAACCACTTTAGCCCCTAAGCCAAGGCTGTTTTCATACTCGTTAAATGACATGCCCCTAAAAGTATCGTCACCACCGTATGGCAAAAAATCATATACTAGTCCCGAAACTCCTGCTCGTATAAACATTTTGAAGCCCCATTTTTTGGGTTTTTTTTGGCAGATACTGCCGGCGGCTGCCTGCCCTAGTGCCTTTATAGGGTACCATCATTTCATCGATGCTGTACCTTCCTTCTTCTTCAACTAATAGGCAGTTTTGTCTTATTTTCTCGAGGATGGGACGTATTTTATAGTAACGGTCATCATTTGCATCGATATTATTCGAAAAATGGAGGTATTTTCTAATTTGTTCATACTTTTTCAGGGGCATGACATCGGCAATAGGTGCATATCTTAACGTTTGACTCCAATAGTCCCTGTAAGATGGCATTTTCACTACTTCCATTAAAATGGTTATGCCGAGAAAGTCACGAATATCATCTTTGGATATATTTATGCCTTTTGCTTGCCCCCCTCCACATTGTACAGCATATAAATTTGTTTGATCCACTATTAGATCTATAATATCTTGCGAAAAAAAAGAATAAAAGTAGTCAAGAGGAGATTTAGTATCGGTAGGTGTGCTGAATTGAAACAGGTCTTCAACAGTTCCTGCATATTTAAATTTACCTTTTGTCCATATGAAATTAAGAGGTTTGCGGATATATTTTTTTACCTTTTTTGTTACTAATTTCGGTCTATTGATAGCTTTCCTTTTATTTGATCTTGTATTTTCCGGAAGTGCAGATAAAAGTGGCGAATTTAATCTAGGTAAGGTATGTAGTAACTCTGACCCCGGTCTAAATATCTCATTCATAAGTGGAGTCAATGGGACTGTATCTTCTTCGTAAGGAGATATGGGAGATTCTGGATTTTGTTGGATATTGGAGTTACTATTATCAGATAGATCGTCCAGGATATTTAACCTTTCTAAAGAAGACTCTATTGATTTTGGCTCGGAACTAAAATCAGATAAGTCATTCGTCTCAACGTGTTCTAGTAATTTAGGAACCTGGTCTTCATCTTCTGAAGTATTGCTACTATCAGAAGGGGCGCATGCAGGAGGCACCAAAGCCATAATACGCCTAGTCCGCTCCCATTGTGGTTTTACCTTCAATAACCAAAAAAAGTATGCAAAACCCAAATAACCAAGCAAATACACTTAAAGAAGTTCGCATAATTTCAAACAAACCCAAATGCATTACATTTAAAACAATAACCATTAAAAAGATAGCTATTAAAAACCATAACTCATTACCAAAAAAAAACACAAACATAAAAAACACCATATTGTTATGTTATTGTATATTATTGTTGCATTAATGTTACTCTATGTGTCGGGCAACGTTGAGTATTCTTAACGTACCCAGTTATATGTACTTTAGTCTATGTCTCGTAACGTTAAAAATACTCAACATGCATCAAACGCTTGTTTTATTTCATTAGTAAATGCAGTTGGGGATGCAATAATAAGATGAAAACAAAGGTTAGTTATTTGCAAACACAATTATAGCAAAATAAATGTACAAATCTTATGACAATCGCGAAATTCAGAAATAAATTACCTTACGGTCACGCATTGCTGCTGCACCCGACGCCATTTTGCGGCTAAGTATCAAATTTTGACGTGTAACGTGTGGAGATACTTTTCTTTAGCTTGTCAGTTTGTTTGCCTCTCCGATTGCAAAGTGTTACCATATAAATAATCAACAATTTCTAACAAATAAATATTTTTATTAATAGTTGAGTATAATTAACAATGCGAATTAAAGGGTTAATAGTCTATTTATGTATTTCATTGCAGAGAGCATGTAAAGATAAAAGACATAAAGACATAAAGACATTTATTCCGACACTTCAGATTACAATACAAATTAATAAACAAAATGAAGACGAATAAGAATAAAATAAAAGAAATAAAAACACAAGAAATTTATAAACAAAAAAAGTAGAGGATAAAATTAATGTGTGTCCTCGTGTAATCATGTCTCCTTTCTTCTTGCACCTCGAGCGATCTCCTGCAAATTAGAAGTATAATTATTACAATTCTTCTTTAAAAGTGGTAGTGAATGTCATCTCTACATCTTTTTTTTGATCTGTCTCTCCTTCAACATTATGGTTTATATATTAAGTAACTTTGGCTTTTTTATCTTGGTCTATATAAATTGCCAGCCCTCCTATATTCATTTAATAAGAAATCATACACAAATCACGCGTTAGAGTTCCTCTTTGTTTGGGTTAATGATGATGGTGACAATGATTTTGTAGTGAATGATTTTGAATACAGCGATAATTCCCGAATACTTTCAGAATGACTCTGACTCAACAACAAGACAATATAGTGTTTTTATAGAAGAAAAGATGATAGTCCACCTGATGGTAGGTAGATGCTGTGACTATCTATCTATATATCTATCTTCGATTAACGAAGATAGATATAAGAGTGTATGGACACACGTATATCTATCATCGATGAAAAATTAAAGTGGAGATGCACTGCCTCACCTGAGGTCTAAGATATAATGTCAAGTCGTCATTAGTAAAAATGATATCGAGTTTTTGTCACTCATCACACGAAACACAACACAGATGTAATAGTATTAGATTTGATGCTATTTTTCATTTTACCGGTTTGTGCTGAAGCCATAGTGCACTAACACGTAGTGCTATCTCGTTATTTTTTATTTAATTAATAGTAGTTAATACATGCGCTTATTCATATTTTTTTAAATAATTGAAATTATCATATAAAGTGGGCATCACTTTTGACACATGCGTTAATATACGTAAACAAACGAGGATAGAAAAGTTTAAATTTAAAAACCTTTATCATTTTAATCGCTTTAATGCTGTGTAACGAGATTCAACAACGTTATAAAACGTGACACGATGTTATAGATGGAAAGTTATATTACGTAACACAGATTTAAATTACCATTTAAATTAAGTGTTACTTGCCTCTAGAAAGATATTTTTAAATTTTATCATTTTTTTATTCATTAAAATGTATACACTAATGTATGTACAGTCAAAGACTTTTGTGGTTACAGTGTATACGGCCCGGCCCACTTATATAAAAGCGTCTCATTTCTGGGAGATATTTTTATTTACTTTACATTATTACATACATTATAGACTTTAACTCCAACTCATCAGTTTTTTGGCCAAAACACATAATAATATTAAATTAAATTCTTTAAATTTTTTATATTGTTCACCTTTTGTAAGTTACTTTACTAATACCGACAAAATACATTATATTTATTAATATTTAGAAAGTTTTATTGTATTATACTTATATAGAATTAAAAAATAATATAATTAATAGTAATATAATTAATTAATATAATAAGTGCCCAATTAATATAATTGCTTTGTGGTATTCCTTAGGCCTATGTCGAGCAGTGAACTTGTGATGAGCTCTAATTACATACTTCTTTTTTTTCTATTGTATATGTAATCTGTATTTTCGTTATGGTGTGCAATAAAGAATATAAAATAAATAAAATAAATAAATATTTATATCTTGTTATAAAAGTTTTCTATTTATATAAATGTTAGTCCAGTATTAAACTTGGACAGGCTGAAAAACAAAGAAAAAATAATGATGCGTGCGTGAGTTTGTATCAAGAAGTTAGGCATGGTTTCAGTATCTATCTTTGTATTTATCTTTGTCTTTCTACCTTTCTTTGTTGGTCTGAGATATAAAAATAATTGTGATAAACGGTGCAACGCATTTTCACACCAGCCATGTGGCACATAATGCGTTAAAATCATTGCAGTGCGACAGCAGGTCGTCAACGCAAAGCTCCGTGTGGTTTCGCGCGTGTGTCTAAATTCTAAATCTAAAAGCTTTTTACCTGCTTTAAAAAGAGGAGGAGGCTTAGATTTTGATGGTATGTTTTTGATATATACGATATGTTATGCAATATCTTCAATAATTTTTAACCGATTTTAATATTTTCTTTTTATATATTGTTGTATGTTTTGGGGGTGTTACGATATTTTGGAGAATATATCCTATTCCTAAATGTATTTTTTTTTTGATGTTACTAAGTAGACGATATTGAGATTGTGATATCCTGAGTCGACTCAAAAGGGTTTAAAATGACTTTTAAGTATATATATATATATATATATATATATATATATATATATATATAAAATAATAAAGTAAAAGTCCTTACAGAACTAAAAAGAATAAAATAATTTCACATTTTGAAATCGAGAGGGGCTTTAAATCTTCTATAGACTATGTTGACTGCCTCGTTGGTATAGTGGTCGTCATTGCAACTGCTCATCATGAGGTCCTGGGTTCGAATGTCAATGCAGGCCAAAATCAGTCATTGGGTCATCTGTCAAAAAATTCTCAGTAGTAGCCCGGAATCAGGAATTTGGCGGTGTTTCATTCACCCACGTGTCTCGGTAAGCACGTTAAACCATTGGTCCTGCTCCTGATCTCTCTCTCTCTCTCTCTCTCTCCCTCTCTCTCTCTGGTAGTGTTGAATTACCGTTCCTTCTAACTATGAGAGATGGAATAGAGAGTGCACCTGTGCTTGCGCAAACACTTAGGCAATATATTCCTGTCCTGCGCAGATAGCTAGTCTTCGTTGAAGACTGGCCGTCTGGCGAAATTAAGTCTGTAGGACATTATTATTATTATTACACTATGTCTTTAGCACCGACTTCAGTGATATTTGAAATAGGCATTTACTTTGTATTAAATGTTAATTTGTTTTCGATCTAAACGTAGGCCTATACATGTGCACAAATTTGTACAAAAATTATACATTTTTTTAGAAATATTGTAATCGTTATCTTTTTGATAACGTACCGCAAATAATTATTTTCATCCAGTTTTTGTGAATACGGTAGACAGGACGAACGTACGTTGTATGTGTACTTACTACGACCATTATTGTCATCCGTGATATTTTAATTAGAAATATTTCATATTTTTTATAACTTATAAAGTGACAAACAAACTAAGAATCCACCTAGATATTAAGTGGCTACTATAGCACTTAGAACAAAAACTCAGCTGTCCTTTAAAAATATTTGTTAAAAGATGTAAACGTTTATTCTGAAAAAGCTTTCTAAACATAAATATTGATCATCATTGCAAATATATACACACTTGTCTGGAGCTGTCATAACATTAACACTGATTTAAATAGGAGCTACGAGTAATAAAATGGAGGCTCACTCTTTTTAAACCCGTCTGTTTTAGCAGCGTGACAATTATAGTTTCAATGAAATGAAAACTCCAGGTTTTAGCTTAATTCTAGGTCAAGTTATTATTGTTTTGATCTAATATAATTCATCAAACTGATATTAATAGAACATGGCAAAGTACCTAAATAAATGATTGATTCACTATTCAGTAAGTTTTTTCATTAGTGATCAATCATGGTAAGGCTTTGTAGAAAGCGGTGTTGAGCAATAATTTCATATATATCTTATACTAGCGATTTACCCCGGCTTCACATGGGTTATTTCTGAATGATTTGCAACAGCGGAGCGGAGCAACTGAAGGATTGATAACAGTGTCATCTACTGGATCCAATTGGATATTTAAACCATACACACAACACAAAAATCATCAAATTCGTTTGAGCTGTTTTTGATTTTTAGCGAGACTAACGGCGAGCAATTGATTTTTAGATATATTTAAGAAAAAGATATATATATATATATATATATATATATATATATATATATATATACTATATGACTATACATGCGATTCACTTAAAATTTAATATACTTATTTCGCACTGTGGACGCTTATTGAGAACGGATTTTACGATAGTTCCATAAAAAAATCTTAACATGTTATATCCACGTAATTATCATGTATTATCGTGCGCTCAGCGAATCGAACGGGTATCAGCTATATTATGCATATATGTGTGAATAGTGTATAATCTGCGTTATGGTGTAAATTGATTTGATACAATAATCCGTCCTTAATCTCCACATCTAAATGCGCTAACATTATTGAGTAATGTGCATATAATTTTCATCAATACCACTTAATTTGATTTATTTTATATAAATAAAGGTAATACCTATATTTAATTTTCTATAAAATTTTAAGTAGATACACTTTACACACGCGTATTATGCTTAGTGTGTATCGTATTACTATAAGAGATGGCAGGAGACAGCTTTTACGCAACTTACGAATTAGTTGCTAAACTCTTCTAACTTAACCATATTCTCATCCGAATTTAAATTGATCTGGCTTCTAATCGAACAACCGAATTTATATAAAGCAAATTTATATTATATTAAAACATAGCATCACATAAACGCTTACTATAGAGTTCCATTTGGTACGTTCTTTACACCCCTCTCTCACCTCTTATTAATCTTTGATTAAAATCTGTTTATTAAATATGAGATGTGGTTTTAAAATAAATGTATTTTAATAGTTTAATTGTATACATTTATACCGCTGAAAGGTCATAAACATTGATAAAATGAAAATTTCTGCCTCAGGATGATTCGCACAGGTAATATCGCAATCGCCCCTAGATGAAAGACACGCATTCTTACCTAATTGCAACAATGGAGGGAATATCTAAGCACCAGCCATAAAATATACAGTATTTGACCTGCTCAAAGTACAAAAGCGTTATCGAACTAAGTTCATATAAAAAGTATTTTAATATTAAAGAATTTATGTTATTTATTAAATATTATTCGTTATTATTGTTATTTTTATTAAAAAATCCCGCTGGATTTCTTACTCGTTATTGCCATGGCAGGAGTTTTTTCCGAACCAGTGGTAAATCAAACAAAAGAGTGACTTCCAATAAGTATTATTTATAATTTATATTGAATAAAAAAGTTTTTGTTTCTGTTTTCATACCAAAATTCTCTTTCGAAACTTGCTAGCTCTCGTACCGTTAGTATTGTGTGTACTTGCTCAATGCTTTTTCATAAAACGCATAAAAGCCTGTAATTTATTCTTCTCAATTCTAGATACAAACATTTTTTATTTCGACAATAACAGCAGACAACAACCACATAAAATGGAACTTTTTAAATTTCGTGTACCTTCGAGATTACCTCGCAGCTCTATTGCACCCCTTAGTCCACCATTAAGTAGAACTGTCTTGGGTAGGAATTATCCTTATGCTAGGTTCTGCAAAGTTATAAATGGATACAGCGATCAAATCGACATTCACTTTGACTCACCCAAAACATTCTCTAAGTGTCTCCGTTAATGTAATGTTAATAGAGTAAATTAAAATAGATTTCTTCGGTTTTTTTTTTTTGAGTTTTTAAGTTTATGTAGCACTATTCTTACTAAGAGCCGTGGTAGCTCAGATGGTTAGCGCTCGCTGTAAATTTCACAATACGCGAGCACACCGGGCTCGATCCCCGCCGGCACCAATGAAATTGTTGATTGCAATTTTAAGTGCTGATTTACCACGTGCTCGGCGGTGAAGGAAAACATCGTGAGGAAACCTGCATGTCTGAGAAATAAGAAAAAAAAATATTTCGAAGGCATGTGAAGTTCGCCAACACGCATTGGGGCAGCGTCGCGGACTATTCCTTGCCCTAAAACCCTCTCAGAAATGAGAGGAGGCCTGTGCCCAGCAGTGGGACGTATATAGGCTGTAACATTACTTTACTTTACTTTATTCTTACTAATAAATATGTATTTAATTTTAGTTGAGGAACAACTTATTGTTTTTTCATTTTTTTTTATAAAGTTATATGCATGCGGAGTTTACCTTTAAGTAGCTGTAGCACTTGTGTTAATACTTTTAAGTAATTGTATTAATTTGATGTGTTAGTGTTTATTGGTAAACCTAATAAAGAGAAAAAAAATGGCAGAGCAGACATTCTTAGTCGAAATATGTATTATTTCTCAGATATGCAATTTAACTCGCTTCTTAATACAGCTCACTTTCACAAACAAGAACTAAAAAACAATGAAAACCAGTTGTTTTCATTAAAAATTGTAAGAGGACTGAAAGCTCACTTTACTTAAAAACACCATCCATTGTAATCTTAGTTTGAAGGTTAAGCGAGGTAGTATATTTTAAGGCTGTAAGGCATTTTGTCGTTTTCCTCAGAGATGATAATACAAAGTCACATTTTTTGCGTAAATTTGGCAGTAATATTTTACCATCCGCGTGATCATTATTCGCTTATCCAGCTGATTGAACAGTAGCCTCTCTTGGTAATACTATTGAACTGGTTGCGATCAGACGATGGTGATGATTTTTTTCGTGAAGATAACACTGAAACAACGATGTCATAAAATATTTTATTTTCGGTAATTATAACACTAATTGTTATGGTAAATTACATATATTTCATGAAAACAGTACGTTCTTAATATTTTATGTTATTTATTTATTTTTATTTTATGTTATAATTGATAAATTGCGTATATTTATTGATTTATTTTATGTTTTCTATAGATAGACTTATTGCCGGAATCATTTTCTGCTAATATTTATTAGGGGATAAATTCTAATAAAAACTTTTAGGAATATGAACCTACACATATAATGCATATATGGCATATAATACGATCGCTTTAAAAATCAAAATAAATGCTGTAATGTAATAATAACTAAACGGATTCAAATATCCAATTTTAACTAAATACTTTTGAAACACATTTAAACCTAAAAAACTACTCAAACAATAATAGAAATTCAAAACATAATATAAATCACAAATAAAAAGAATATGAAAAATAACAATTATGGAAATGTAGAAGAGCGAATCCCACTCATAGTGATACAGGTAAGTTGAAAACACGTTCGATTTTATAGAATTCAGTAATTAAAATATACCGCAGACAAATTTTAAATAAACTGTCACTAGCGATGAACACCACCACGGTGTCATAGGAACCTGGACCGATACGACTTAGGGACCATCAAGAAAAGAGCTTAATAACACATACATAAACATAAACACTCACGCCTGTCACCTAGAGGGGTAGGCAGAGACTACAGATTTCCAGTTGGCACGATCCTGACACACCTCTCTCGCCTCCTTCACATCCATACACCTACGCATGCATGCTCGTCGGTTAAGGGTACTCCAAAAAAGAGCTTAATACTTTCTAAAATGTCAGCAACGCACCTGCAATTCCCCTGGTATTGCAGTTGTTCGTGGGTGGCGGTAGTCGCTTACAATATTGTGAGACGCATGCTCGTTTGCCCCCTCTTGTATTAGAAAAGTCGACAGTGGGAAAATTAACAGGAGATGGGCAGCAACTTCTTCCTAGTAACGTCAAAATAAATAAAAAAGACTGTGGTTGGCAATCTATGGGGGTTGCCTATGCTCAGCAGTGGACTTGTGTGACTTGTGACATGTGGGAGACTGTTGCCTCATTCGCATTGACACTATCATCATCGTTTTCTTCATCAGACCTTAAAAGTCTGGCTGTACTGCGAACGTCAATTCGCCTAACAAACATAATGATTAAGGCAGATTATCCCCACAAGAGAAGAGGTCCTTGTTCAGATGTTATATGCTGATAGAGCAAGATATTAAGAAAGATAATAAATATTATTAGTAGAGCCTCGCTACAGCTATATTATGGGTATAGCACGAATAGGCGCTCTCACAGAATACCAGCCAACTTAATGCTGCTGAGTTTCGTATGGTGAGTGTAGAGAACCGGAGACCCTTTTCACTGGGTACGGGGAATTCTATCTTACTTCTCAGGGATAGCAACGCATCTGAATTTTAATTTTTAATTAAAGATAGATGTAGATATCTATGGGTCACAACATCCACTTACCATCAGGTGGAATGTGTGCTGGTTTGTCACCTCGTGTACTAAAAAAATGTTCATAATTTAAAAAAATGTTTCCTCCAAAGTCAAATTGCATGGAAATTATTATATTATTGTAATTTATTTTCCTTATCCGTGTCTTTCCTTCTTACTTTGTACTTTATTCTGCCTAATTAAATTTAATGCATGCTTAAAAAGATTATTTTAATTTGGTCGTAGTCACACAAATACCATCCAATCCACAGAAGCCACTTTTAAGATAGTGAGGTTTGAATGTACTATGTGTATTCCGTGATGCCTTTCTTCGATTTGTTTATAATTTTTTATTTAAATTTGTGCTACTTTTGTTTAAAATACTTAACTTACGAAAGTATAGGCGTAAAACACTCTTGAGCTCATTTTTGAACCGAGTGTGGATTGAGTTACAGAAAAGGGATCCATCCACCTTTTTGCGAAACTAAATCCGTTTATAACTTTTTTAAATAACTTGAGTATTAAATAAAGAGCAAATTTATCATATTCTGGTAGACTCATGACAGCAGCGCAAGGAAATCATCACTAGTCCATCACTTCATATCGATCTAAGATTTTCGTAAGAGTCGACTATGAAAGTTTTCATGACCTCTAACAGATGGCAAATTAGGAAACTCGTATATGCCAGATGTAAACTATTTATAGGTCAAAGGTGTTACATTATACTACGGTTGCTATTACATCAGCCAATCTAGGCGTTTATGACCAACCCCTACTTATTAGAGAGGCCATTAGCTTGTTTTATAAAATTAAAGTTGGATTCGAACTTACAGTCACTTGACGAAAAGTGACTACTGAACTCATGAACATCTCCGAACAAATTGTTCCTCAACTACAAAGGCTCTCACTAGTCTTTATGTTCTTAAATATGTGCGAATAGAATAGGATTTACTAACAAATCCACTCTTTGAATGTCAATTTATTGACACGCTTCTATTTAAGGAAGATTATTTTACTTATATTAAGGGTAACAATAAGTAGTTGTTATAATTTGTATTAAAAACAAACAAGTACATGCAATGTAACGACTTTTTAAAGATTTTAAGGATTAAGGCTTTTACCTTGTTTAATTTTCACTGACACCTCAGTGACTATGTGAAAGTTAAAATATAACGCTAAAAAATCCGTAGAATTGGTTTTTTTTCTATACGCATTGTATTTTAATTGGATTTTTGAACAACCAACAAGACTTTGTGTTAGCTCAGGGGCTATGTGCTCGCTGTAAATTTCGGGTAACTCCCGGGGCTATGTGCTCGCTGTAAATCTCTCAGTACACTAGCGATTGTTGCCAGCGGCAACTCTAAAATTGTCAAGTGCAATTTTAAATGCTAACGTACCACGTACTGTGCAGCGAAAAGAAACATCGTGAGTAATCCTGCATATCTAAGGAATAAAAATTTTGCGAAGGCACGTGAAGTTCGCCAGCATACATTGACACAACTTGGCAGAACTGCTCTATAACTCTCTCAGAAATAAGAGGATGCCTATGGGAAGTAATATAGATGTAAAAAGCAATGGAAATACTATTGATATTCAAATGTTTAATATAAAAAATATCCGCAGCCAATATTATTACAAAATAAAAACTATATAAATCTAAGAAATAGTACGACAAGTGTAGTTAATGGTGTTATTAATACCCTATGTACGTTTAACTTACAAAGTTTATCAAAATTTACATTGTATTAATCTATTGTTAATAATAAATTACTCGTATAGGTCTCCGTGTTGTCCAAAATTAGTAAGTAATATAACTTTTCTATTGTCAAAGGCTGAAGAGGGCACAACCCGAACATCGGAAGGTGAAGATAACGAAACCAGTGAAGTGCAAGCTGGTTCCTCGAGAGCACTGTCTGTAGCAACCTCCAGAGAAGAAGACGACGATTCCAGTAAAGATGCCAGCAGCGAGAGCAAGAGTCCAGGGCAGAGGTGAGCAACAAATGTGTTATTAATTATCTTAAAAATAAAACTTTTACGATAAGCTCGAATTACTTAATTACAATAAATTAAGTTTAAACATTTAAAAAACTAACCAGTTTTAATGAAAAATCCACCTTACTAAAAAATAAGAAAATAAGGCTGCATTTCCACCAGGGATGTGCGAGAGAACGAAGCTAAGCGAATATTGTTACCTAAGCTGAGTAATATAGAATGAGACACATAAGAGAGCTGAGCTATGTTGGTGTGGTTAGCTAGGCGAACAATATTGCGTGGCATATCCAGTCCGTATAGTAAATACGGATTAAAAATTGTATTATATTCTTCAATTGCTTATTGTTTCCCGAAATAGTGCTGATTGAAGTACATTTTTTTGCTATAAAAATATATCATAATTTATTTTGATACTTGTAAGCATTATTATTTTGTGGGGTATCTATATAGTTTTCTCATCTGGTTGGGATGTATAAATGCATAATTATAAACGAAAATGAAAAGATAAATATACATAAATATCAATAAAATAAAATAAATAAAAAAAATACATAAATAAATAAAAGCCCAACCAGATGGAAGCCCTCGGCAGGGGAGACCAAACGGCCGAGGGCATTATTATTATTATTAACGATAAACTATTATTATAAAGTGAATCAAGAATTACCGCGTAGTGTCGGTGTATGAATATCCATTACCCATGTTATAACTTGGGTGTTGTAAGAGGGAAATGGATCCAGAAATGGGCGGCAGCATCTTTCTGATAATATCGGAATAAAAAAAACCGACCAAAAGAGCGTGTCGGGCCACGCTCAGTGTAGGGTTCCGTAGTTTCCCGTCCGTCACAATAAGTGTTCCCACTTATGAGTATAAATGTGGGTATCCATTATGTTCGCGCTCCAGCAGCGCTCCGCGCTCCTGCAACTGCTCCCGGTAGTGGGTACTGTTGTTTCCATCCAAGTTCAAAATGATTTTGCTAGAAAGTTCTTATAAAGTTCTACTTTTCAGATTTTTTTCATATTTTCTAAACTTATGGTTCAAAAGTTAGAGGGGGTGGACACATTGTTTTTTTAATTTTGGAGCGATTATTTCCGAAATTATTGACATTATCAAAAAATGATTTTAGTAAACCCCTATTCATTTTTAAATACCTTTCCAACAATATATCACACATTAAGGTTGAAATTTAAAAATATTCACTTCCCACTTTACATATAGGGGGGCTACCCTAATAAAACATTTTTTTCCAATTTTTATTTTACCACTTTGTCGGCGTGATTGATACACATATTGGTACTAAATTTCAGATTTCTAGAGCTAACGATCACAGAGATTAAGCGAGGACGGACAGACGGACAGACAGACATAAGGGTTCCTAGGCGAAACTATAAGGGTTCCTAGTTGACTACGGAACCCTAAAAACTACGGTTACCAACCAAATACACTGAATAAGAACACACCTATTAATATGAATATCAAGTTACAATTAATAAGACTACTTGTAAATTTCAAATGTTTTTCAGCAATGGAATGGAGATTTGATAGACTGTAATGGCACTAAGAATTGAGGGGAAACTAGCTTCTGGAATATATCACGTCCTGTTATCATGTTGATTTGCTGTTCACCGCAAAAACTGTACATATAACATGTTCATTAATATAGACTAATATTATTTAGGGGCATTAATACAGTATGAGAGATGTTCGAGCTAGTAGGTGAATTTATATATTTGGGATGTGTATTCAGCAGGGATGGGAGATATGATAAGAATATTGAACGACGAGTGAATGCAGGAAATGGGGCTCTACACTCTATTGTGAAAAGTCAGAATGTGTCAAAAAAGGCACGTATGGCAATTCACAATGCTGTATTAGTCCCCACTTTAACGTATGGTAGTGAAAGTTGGTTGTGGCAGGAGAAGCACAAGAAAAAGAAGCACGCTAAGGAGTATGTTAGGGCTGAATCTGAGTGACAGGGTGAGAAACTGTGTGATAAAAGAAGAGTGTGGTTTGCAAGATGATACGGTGACCAGGATTAAGAAAGGAATGCTTTGGTGGTTTGTTCATGTAGAAATAATGAATGAGGAAAGACTGACAAAGCAAATATATGTTGCAGAAGTGAATGGAAGACTCGGAAAGGGACGTCCTAGGCGAAAATTTGTCGACCAAATTGGCGATATATTAAAAATGGAGCAAATTAAGAGTACCCTTAACCGGCGAGCATGTATGCGTAGGTATATGGATGTGGAAGAGGCGAGAGAGGTATGTCAGGATCGTGCTAAATGGAAGTCTGCAGTCTCTGCCTACCCCTCTGGGTGACAGGCGTTAGTGTTTATGTTTATTAATAGAATATTCTCATCTGGTTGAGCTGAATAAATATATAAAAGGAAATAATAAATATACATAAGTATATATTACATATATTAACATAAATAAATAAAATATAAATAAATAAAAGCCCAACCAGATGGAAGCCCTTGGTAGGGGAGACCAGACGGCCGAGGGTTAGGGGGAAAGGGAAAGAAACCTGCGGACGATGCGAGCGGTATCTAGGAGCACCGCCTTCTACATTTGAGCTTGGAATGGTCCGTCACGGAGTCCCTTTATTAACCCGTTCGCAGAAACGACTTCAGGAATAATTTCTGTCGACAGTCCATCCCACATGTCGGTCACCTAGTAAGCCAGGTCCAGATAATATATTATTGTTATAAGTTAAATCGCTTCCATTTTTCGCATCAGCGAATATTTAAATAACACTGCCTCATTCACATATTATCCGTCAGAGCTAAGATGATATTTACTTATGAAAATGAAACAACCCAATTGGTTTTTCCCTTACATTTCTCGCTACGTTTCCTCCGCATATTTCTGGTGGAAAGGCAACTTAGTTCTCTTATCTTATATATCTCAGGTTTATGACGTCAAAATTTTTGCATAGCACTCTAGCAAATAACATTATACGTATGTTTACTTTGTAGTTAGTCTTGCGCGAAAAAGTTATTTAGGAAATAGCGTAAAGGCAAAGACTTCTATGTACTACCTGTACACATACTTCATGTAGTATACATAAATATCTTTGCATAAATCTTTGAATATATGTTATAAGTGCTTTACTTTTCGCTCTAATTAGCTTATGGCACATACGTTATTAACACAAACACGAAATAAGCCGAACTTGATTTTAGAACGAAAGGTAGTCACAATTATTGTTTGGGTTTTGGATTATTCATGGGTTAGAAATTCAAAAACATATTCAAACATTTTTAATAAAAAATTGGCTTTTATCAAACACTTTTTTTAAATTATAAGCTACGCCATCGCTTCAATAATTACCTACAGCCGGGAGACAATGTGATAAAAAGTTTTTTATCATTGTATATTATTTTTTTATCCTTTCTATTTAATTATTACTGCACCGCCTCCAAAATTTCTATCTCTGTTTAGCCTAATGGTTGACTGGGAGAGAATGCCCTATGGCATTAAGTCCGCCATATGCACTACTTTGTGCATGAAAGTATAAATAAATAAATAAATAAATAAATAAAAAGCAGCGACAAACTCACATATTATTCGCTCAACGGTTACAATTTAACACTGTAAAATGTATAGATAAGTAAAAAAAAATCTAAGGATGCACAATATGTCCGCGCATTCTCATATTTTCAATATTCATTAAATTTATAATATACTTACCTCACAAGAATGCTTTTTAATTCAGTAATATAACCGGGAATATTGATATAAATAGTCATACTCGTATATCCACCCAAAAATGAGCCGCTAGTTTTAGGACGTCTACTTTTGGATTTTTATAAAAAAAAGTTAAATTATACGCGATAAAATCCGCAAAGGTTTTGTTGCGGTAAAACAAAACGATTATAGCTATCTAGGGCCTCATCACCACCAGGTTGGACTGTAGTTAAGCACTGGTTTATAATAAGTGAAAAAGGTATACCGCCATTTGTCGAAGGTAATAACGTCTTTCAGTGCTCTCCAATAATATTTATATATATATACTGTGAAATTTTACCCAAACTATATTTATGCGTAGTTGCCATTGAGTCATACATTATAATAAGGTTTCGCAACGTTTAAGTTTAATCCGACAAAGTAGAAATGGATAACAACAGTGGTTACGTCTATAAAAATTATGTTCTGATTTTATAAAATGAGATTGAGAAAGTGTAACTTAAAAAATATTAATAAAAATGGTTACCAAGGACACACACACACATATATATATATATATATATATATATATATATATATATATATATATATATATATATATATATATATATATATATAAAATATATAGATATCACTATCATGATATATATCGAAATTTCCAAAGTAAAAACGTCATAGAGCTGAGCTATGTTGCTGCTATATTAGGATTGTAACACGAATGGGCCTGTCGTCCAGAAAAGAACACGCTGTCACAAAATACAAAATAAGTTAAATAAAAAAAAATAATTTGTACCGATAAATAAAGTTGATCGTCAAATTAATAAAAGTACGTAATAAAACAAAATATTAGAAACGTTAATGTTAATGATTAATTTACTTTAAACAAATATTTAGCTAACAACTGAAATATTTCAATTGAATTTGTTCAAAAAAGCAAGATATTATCGTCGTTGTCAATTTAAAAAAATCTATTTTGACGAAAAAATATTCTTAATTTAATATGTCAGACGCAATGTATATATGTCTAAATCAAAATCTAATTACATAACAATGTAATTTGAATGGGGATGTTGCATTAATAGAGAAAACAGATAACTCAATTTATGAGAGCGCAAGCCTTTGGTCTTCCAAGCATATCGATCGTTTTATTCTTGGATTGTAGGACACTTCGTGGCATTGAATTATTCGTGGCATATTCCAGACTACAGATTGCAGAATGAATATATAATATATTATTGTATTTGTTTCTCACTTATTAATAGATAACGAATTACGATATCTATTAAACTTTATTATTCTGAACTTTA